CCACCCCCTCTTTCCTTTGCAGAGCCTTCCGTTCCAGAAAATCCAGCATAGCATCACGGCACAGGACCATCAGCCCACGCCAGATAGCTGCATCATCAGCATGGTTGTGGGCCAGCTCAAGGTAATAGTGCTGCTGCCTTGCAGTGCTGCTGTCCTGCTTCTCAAGGGACACCCAAAGTGATGCCTAGAGCTGTATAGCTCAGTACAATAGCCATCAGCCACGTATGGTGATTTTTAAATTACATTAAGTAAAATGAAATAAAATTAAAATGTAGTTCCTCAGTTGCATTAGTCATACTTCAAGTGCTTGTGGCTGCCTCTTGGACAGCGCAAACATAGAACATTTCTGTTATTGCAACAAGTCCTATTGGAGAGCACTGGTATAGAGCATTTTTGGAAAAGGGACAAGAGGTGTAGGAGCAGGATGGGGCTGTGATCCAAGCCACTGGGCCTTTGCACTGCCCCAAGGTGTAGGTGGGCCTTCTGCAGGCAGCTGATCCTGAGCTGGAGTCCATGCTGCCACTCCCCAAGCTGGCTGCTGATTCTTCCACCTGCTGAGCAAAGCAGATTCCTGAAACTCTTGCTTCTCTTTGCATTTCTCCTTCCACTTCTCAAGACCTGTTACTTTCAAAGCCTTCCTGTGGTCCCATACCCCCCAGGAACTCCTACTTGTTATGCTCTAACAGGCTGAAGCCAGATTCTTGATTTCCAAAAAAAAGCCTCTCCTCCTTCCCAAAGCAGGACAAATGAGCTGCACCTTAACCAGGTTCCAAACTCCTGGGCCTGTGGCATCATGGGGCCCAGAATAACAGGCTCACATGCCTTCTCCCTAGGCTAGGCAGGGCTTCTTGAGTCCGTTACAAGGGTGGAAGAAAGTGGGGGGGGCGGCTAGGCCTCTCCAGTGGACCCAGACGGACCTGCCTTCTGGCCTGTTCTTTCCTGTTAGTTTCTCCTGCCTGTCCAAGATACCGTGCCCAGAGAGTGTGCTCAAATAGGCCTTGGGAGTGAGGAGGTCTCTCCTGGGGTCTTAGTGCCCAGTGTCCCAGGCTGGAATCAGTTACCAGTGCCTCTTCCCACCTGGCTTCAGGTTCTTTCTGGTGTTTTTGTCCAACCCCCAAAAGACTGATTTGCCTCCTTGCTGATGATAATTCCTGGAAAAAACAGTGATATTAGAAACACTGTTCGTTGGCTGGGCTCCTACCTCAACTAGGCCTCATCTGGGTATTCTGCAGTTTGGGTGGAAGTCTCTCACCTTTCTTTTTTCGTTGCAAATATGTTACATGACAAGAAACAGATTACCTGATAGTGCTGCATTCGTTTTTTTCCCCTGTAGAGCTGTAATCAGTGTGAGCTTGGTTTTGAGCCTTTTCTAATGTACTTGGCCATAGTCAGTATTAGTAGTAGCTTCTCCTGGTTGGACTAACTGGCATAATCAGACCCTAAGATTGTTTAGTTTTCAGATTACTGTGAGTTACATGGTAAGTGCTGCAGAACTCTTTCAAATTGATCATTTGTGCACAGAAACATGTACGTTCTCTGCTCTGTTGCTGTAGCTAACTGGTGAGTTGTTCTGCAGTTTGTGTACACAGCAGTGTGAGCTGCCATCTCAAGGCCCAGTTTAGTGCCCAGTTTAGTGTTTCATACATTCTGTCAATTCACAGTCACAAATACCCCTTAGCTCTCCTAGGATTTGCGTCCAAATTATAGGGCCTGATCCCAAAGTCAGCGTTCACCTCCTGCTGACCCCCCTTCCTGCTCCTTGGGCAC